CTCTCTCTCTCTCTCTCTCTCTCTCTCTCTCTCTCTCTCTCTCTCTCATTTCTCTTTCGCGCTTCTCGGGAAACTTGTGTGCATGAGAAATAACTACGGCATGGGGCGGCCCAGACCTCCGATCTTCATTTTGGTCATAGATTTTGTAACGAGAGTTTTGAACTCGAACGTCTTTGTAACATTTGACGACACGCGGAACAAAAAAATTTGAGAAATATAATAGCATGAAACTAATTAAACAACGAGCCAATTTAATCGCAGTTGTGCAATATATATTTGTTTTATTGCCGGAAGCACTTTAGAATAAACTTCTGCATATATGCATATAATAATTAAAGCAATACTACGTTTAGAATAATCACGAATAATTAATCATGATTGTGTAAAATTAGAAACCCATTAGACTGCACATTAATTATTGCAAACAATAAATATTTGGGGATGTCACGATGAAAAACAAACATGGAATTTCGTTCCACGTACTGATTTTACAGATTGTGCTACAATTCGTAACGAGCAAAATGAAAGCGTATTATTGATCAATTTAAATATAAAGTTTGCGATCGCGCGCGGTGTTATAAGGTTTTTTTTATACTTCGACTTCACAATAAATTCATCATTCATGAATTAAATAATTCAGGTGCCGCAATCACATTTTAATCACTCGTTTTAAGTCATTCAAACACAGATAGGTAATAAAATATGAATAACGACAGCGTGATGAAAAAAAACTAAGAACAAAAAGACTAGCATTTTTATCAAATAGTCATGTGTGCTTCAACAGATATAAGGTTTTCCCAAAATGTTCGTGCACGCAGACGCTGGAGATCCTCCGTCCTGTATCGATTCTAGATAAATCAAATATTTAAGCGGACATTACGCTAGATATTGCAATAGCGCTACTGTTTGTCCCTCCCGATCTCTCTCGCTCGCAACAAACGGCGAGATTCCCGAGAAACTCTGAGATTCCGTCCAAATGTTGACGCCAGCGGCGTTTCCGCGTCGCGCGTTTCTCAAGAGTTTGCCCGTAACTGAGCGCATTGGATACAACGGCGCATTCGATATAACGGCGCAAACGCGTAAACGTAAACCGCGCATACACGCGACACGTTAGAATTAAACTTCCAATCTCTCCGCCGGCGCTGGCGAGGTATAGATACCTGGGAATCCTCCAGAGAACCTTAAAGCGAGAACCCTCAGGTACCGTATCGGTAATCACTTACTGGTTGGCTCAAACTTGCCCGTCGAAACTACAAGAGTTCTTCGCGTAGTTCTTACGCGGCGAGACGAACCTAAGTGCCTTATTCGAGTGCAATGTTGAAGTTATTATTAATGCAGCGTGTTGTGCGCGGGTATCGTGAAAGTTCATTATCGCGGCGTACGTTTCGAAGTAGCAGAGAGATACTTAAGTGCATTATTTATGCAGTTTCTTAGCGATATTAAATTGCAACCAGGTTTCCCCTCATTGCACGCAGGAGCGATGAGTTGCCTTACCAAGATTTGCGTTAATGAACTTGAGGCCTATTTAATAAGAATCATATCTCGTGCTCTAAGAGGAAAAATCGAAATAGAAAGTAACATTGTTGAAGTTGATGTAAATAATTTACTTCGATATTTATTTATTTATTTATTAAAGATAATTTTTTCAACCTACGTTCTTTTTACTAACTTAATTTACGCGGTGTAAGTATATATACCATTCGGAACATAAATATCCTGCATTTTCTAACTCCTGGTTTTTTCACGGAAAGTTGATTGGTACACACACGGAGAGAATTTTCTCTTAAAATTTACCCTGAAATCATGGTAGTTGTAGAACAACATGTACCATCAAGAATTTTATGCGAGTTATTCTGATTAATATCTACCATAATAAAAAATATTAATATCTATTACATTAAAATGTAAAATGTTTGATTAATTTTACTAAAATATATCTAGGAAATATCAATAATTTTTCAAAATTTACCAATCTGCTTGGTAATTTTTATCACATTGTTTGTAAAATGTCTTTTGTATATTTTAAAAATTCCTTGGTTGCCAAGTTGTTCCAAGTTTGTAGTGAATTTAAGGATAAAAAATTCTCTCCGTGTAATAACATGAATAAAAAACCACTGACGAATCTTCATACACCGTGTATAAAGCGCAACAGCGCGGTTTCCCTGGAACAAATTCTCCGAGATAAATTTGTAACCGTCTATGCAACAGCTCGTTCGACACTGATCGAGGCTGAGAGGGCACGCCGAAACTTGACCGGAGATTGATGCAAGAACATCGCGCCGCGCCGGTAAGGATCAACGAAAGGGATCAAACGGCGTTCGCGCTCGAGCTCGAAGAGGGTCGAATTTCTTTCACCCCCCCGTACGGCTCCCTCCCCTGCGTGCATCCATCCAAGGGGGATGGATTTCTGCTCCGGAACGTATTTTTTTTTCCCTTCCACCGAGACGTCCGTCTGGTAGCGCGAGCTAATTTACGACTCGCAATTCGACGAACGACCGCGCGGCCGCAAGAAGCGCTCATTTTTCAGCGAAAACGAGCATCAGCGTCTCGGAGAAAAAAGTGAGACAGAGGGGAAGGGGAGGAAGCGAGAAAGAGCGACTCGCGAGACGACAACCCGCGGAAGTAAATCGACAGCAAACACGAGAGGGGATAAAATTGCCTGGGGGCTTTTCGGTGGTAGACGACATCGACGATACACACTTCACACCTTCGCGAGATGCTGATGTAACGCGACAAGACGTGTGGCGCTGAGTGTGCTTGCATAAGTTGAAAATGCATGGCGTGCGTTATCGTGTGACGTGGCGGTGTTTAAGATTTTAATTTATTGTACGAGAGAGCGAAAGCGTATGAGGTCATATCATCCATTTATCTTTTCCTTCTGCTGCTTTACAAATGCATGATTTTTTGGCTTTTTTATGGAGTTCTTAAAAGCATCATAATAAATAACATTAAATGTAACATAAATTCTTGACATAATTTGATTGCATTAATGAAAAATACAACACAATAACTGCGAAACTGTAATATCTCACAAAAATCATTCGTGTAATGCTATCTTCCCAAAATTCTTTTTGCTTATTACAATTAGAATAAAAATAAAGTATTAACATGTTCGAAATTACATAAACTAGAGTTGCAATACCGTTTTCAGAATAATAAAAGAATAATGAATTAAAAAATAATTGTAACTAAAAATGCCTAGAAACGCGCGTTACTGTTGTCGCAATAATTTTGCCATAATATCACAATTACGTAATTGCATTCAATTAGCTCAAACGTTAATAAAAATAACTTCTTGTATCCGCGCAGTCACGGATTGGAAGGCCGAAGCGAGAAACTTTACTTTTAACTTTTAACGAGAAGTGTCTTATTATTGGAAGAAACTCGATGAAGCGAGACTTCTTATAGTACAAAAACATGACTTATTACCTTTATTTATGAGACATTAAACTGTCTCATGCAAAACGTATGCGGAGCATCGTCTAGCCATATACTCATTATTCTCAAATTCTAATGCTTAGTCTGTAAAAACATAAGAAAGGAACAAAAAGTAAATTGTTAGTCTGAGTGCACCAGTTATTGCATTTTGTACACCGCAATTTCGCACCACTATGAGTTTATTAACAGCGCGTTTTAATATTAACAAAGGTGATCGACGCTGCTATATCCAGTCGTGAACATGTACATATATAAATAAACAATGATCGAAATCGACGGATAAATACGTTTTAAAATTAAACAAAACTCGAATGCGACGGTGTGCGGGATAAAATGGCGAATTTCCAAAGTGACATCTCTGAAAATATAGTTCTCGTTTCTCGGATATAAGAAAATACGGATTTGGAACAGCCCGGGGTGAATTTTGAATCTAGCATTAAGATCATTATGCGGTTACACTACGTTCCCCTAAGTATTCACGAAAACCGACCGCCCTTCTCAAAATGCTTTTATTATAAAATTCTCTTATTGCTTATGCGGCGGCGGTAATTATTCCAGTATTTTTACAGGTGCTACGTTACCGCTGAAGTTGCATAACACTCGCCACGTAATATCGGCCGAGCTCTTGAATCCAAGCGTTAGTAACAACGGATAACGCGGCTGACGTTGATAGATTAACCCGCAGTCAAGGGGTAATAGCCGAAGAAGAGAAAATCCCCAATCTCGATACGATGACGATGACGGTCGCGCGCTCGCGAATTCTTGATACGCGCACCAGGTCGAGAAATTCGCGCAATTATGCGCGCCTGTCAGATCGATCTCGAACTTTTCACTTTGACGTTCGCGCAAATCGGGTTCGTTGGACCGTAAATTAAACGCGCGCAACAGAAACATTATACAATGCCTTCCGGTCACTTGCGCCATTTGATTTTGATGTTTTTAAAGCGTACACGGCCACGCTTTATGCAAATAATATGATAAACACCGTATGGAGAGCATTATTGCCCGAAATCCCATTATTTTTGTCGCGAAATGGAGCACGCCTTACCCCTCGAGGGCACCGCAACGCGCTGATGCAATTATTTCCGACCACGCCAAGCGACCTTAAGTTAAATATCCGACGTGCAGCACTGTGCAGATAGTTAAACATAGTTAAACTTTAACCCGTTCATTCTAGAGTCTTGATTATAAATTAAAATAGATTATTATTACAAACAGCTACAATTTGCAGAGTATTTCTCGAGGCATGTAGTCGGACATTTTCGAGAGCATCGTCGATTGACCAATTCCCAATATTGCAAAACTTTGCAATATCTGTACAAAGGGCCTTACACCAAATACAGATTGATGCTAAATTCGCTGCAACGTATGCGAGCAATCGGTCATAAAAGT